AGAAGTAATCATTAAAGCTTTTTATCAGACAATGAAAAGTTGCAACTGTAGTTCAATTGAGAATTAATTTTTTGTGTTCCCCTTTACATAAGGATAGGCTTCTGTGTAGGATTACCCATCTGTAGTTTGAAATCACTTATGCCAGTCAGCACTGCCCAGATGAAGCTTTACAAATATCTAACCTCATATTTAGACACAATAAGGCTCAGTCCTACAAACTTTACATACTGAAGTACTTTGGATGAAACCTGTGGTCTTTCTTTTGGGAATAAGACTATTACTTATGCTTAATATTTTTCAGCTGTCAACTTTAAATGTAGATTTAGACTCTTGCTTTCATTTTCCTTCATCTGTTTGTTTCTACATACATAGAATGGGAAAAATTGCCTACCAGGTATCATGTCTCGGACTTAATATGTCAACTCTATGACATTTTGAGAATATAAGGCGTTGAATAGGTGTTAACACCCATAAGTAGTCTTTTCATCTGTTCTGGAAACAAGATTTTCCAATTGAGATCAATAAGAAGTTCTGCTTAAAAGAGGACAAATTCTCCATCTACTTTGATCATGTTTCTCATGATGTATGAGCAACCATCAGGAAAGTGATCTTAAAAAGGATGGCGAATTAGGTCTCCATTTTCCCCTTTTCCCTTCATGCACCTTTTTTTTTTTGGAGGTGATTTCTTTTGTGCAAAGATGAAAAAGAGAGATTTATCATCTAACTGGAAGGAGAATCAGGAGAAATGAGGAGAAGAAAAGAAGAGAAAATTAATAAAAGATTTTACCCTGTCATTTCTAAAAGTGGAATCTAGACTCAAGGAGAGCAATAATCACAAACTTTCTATGGTCTTCGTTTTGCATGAGCAGTGTTGCAAATGAACTTTGTCTCTCTGTTGTCACAGTATGTCTGTCAACAGCATAATCAAAAGCACTGAGCTTCAGCAGTGTTTTACGTTTACCTACTCACTTTGAGCAGCTCCCAAGCAACATAACTGTGAAACCTGAAACCATGGCTTGTATCTAAACGAAAATGCAGTTAGGGAAGCAGAGCAGAGCACAGCTCTCTGCACATTACGAATTAGGTAGGAAGAGGGTGATCAGCTGCTGCAGATGTTGTTGTAGGTTCTTAGCAAGCCCTCTGTAAAACCCAGAAAACTTCCCAGATCTTGAATGTAGAAGTGGTGAAATGTTTTGCAGTAAGACTGAAAAACATGTTGTGTTTGCAGTGTAGCTCAAAAGTGGTTTGCATTACGGAACTGTGCTTCTTTCAAAATGCAAGATTTTTTACTGTGTAGCTGCTTCAAAAATCCTTAAGTTATTTTTTATGAAAAATATAAAAATTCATTAAGAATTTTAAAATTCCGGGCATTTTTTTCCTGCAGAATTTTTGGAGTCTCCCTGTTGTATCTGATCATTGTCAGGTTTTCTTTAAGTTACCAAAAGAAGGAGTCAGCACCACATCACGAGCTCACTGCGTCAGGGGTCAAAGGGAATAAGCTTTCACCAAGGCCATACTCTAGGCCAAAGGAAAAGTGGGATAGTCTTCTTTTTAGGATGTGAAGTCAAGAAACAGTTTTCCACTTGCATGTCCAAGAGACTGTCTTGTTTCTTACATATGTCTATGCATTCAAAGTGAAGCAGATGCGATCAGAGTGAACTCGAAATGGAAGGTAGAGCAATATGCATTGCTATTTGGTTTTAGTTTTGTTTAGAAATTTCTAATTCAGTTTTGAACCAGAAATTTCTGGGTTGAGGAAATTAATAGCTTAGATGCTACAGCCTGATACTTTAAACATCATTAAGAGTTCATTCTTTGCTGTTAAGTCTGGACTGCTTAGAGGCTAGAGGCCAGGCTAATGCATTAGGAAGAGAATGTGTTGCTGATAATATCAGTACAGTTATTCTGAGCTTACTGGGATTTCTAAGGCACTGTTGGCTTTGAGAGCAGGTACACATTGTTGCTGCAATTCAGCCAAGTATGAGAAAAATACAAACAGCTGAATCCAGATCACTCTCTGCTAGGATGGGATATTTTCCTGATTCAAGGGAGATATCAAAATTAATATTTACCACTGTTGTCAGGTAAAACCTTTCTGCCAAATAACCACATTCTATTGCAATACAAATTTGATTGATCAGCAGAGATTGTATCATCAGTGAATGGATGTTGAGCTGCAGGCGTGAGTGCTAAAAAATGTGGCTTTTTTTTCTTCTACTCTTTCTGTTCTGGTCAGGTTGATAATTGGTTATTCATCTTCATCTGCATCTCTTTATTCAGTGCAGCACAGCATGTGAAAAGTTCAGTCCTAAGACGAGGGGAGAGGCTATTTGGAAACTGAGGTGCTAGCGGTCAAAGCTACCATACAGTGATCATCCCTAGCACTGTTTCCTGTGATGAGAATGTTTTAGGTGCATGTGAAGCCAGAATGTAGTTTCAGTTTGAATTCTTGATCTAAGTATCTGCAGCTGACTGCAGTTCCACTACCTGCACAGAGCCTTTCCAGGTTTTCAGAGTTCCAAGTGTCCCAGACACAAAAAAACCAAACCAAACCAACCAAACAAAAAAACCCAAACTGGAATCAAAATTAAATGCTCCACTAAAATAGGAAAAAGCTCACTATTGAAATTTTATGATAGCTTTGGCTCATCAGGCCTGATTATAACAGCTTTTTTATACTGCTTGCCACTTTCCTACCTAACTCATCCCACTATTTCCAGTATTTGAAGTAAAGCATTTTACACCTACATCAGTCTCAGTCATAAGTGTGGCTAATTAAAACTTTAAGGCAGAGAAGAGTCCATTCTGATAGTTAGACAATAAAGAGCATTATTTCCATTATTATGATGATCATTTGGTTACTGTTAGATTACAATGTACATAAAAAGGACAGATCACTCAACCCTTATACTTAAAAATAAGCACTAAATTTAGAATGCATGTGGTGTCCTTTCCTGGCTCAGTTTCCTATTGCCTGGATTTGGCTTCCAAGGCATATCAGATCAGAGAAGTGTTATGCACTGAGACTTGGGCAGAATTTTTACCTTAGTCCTACAAACTAATCACAATGAAGTAACACAATATGATGACATAATGCTTTTATGCATGTTGTGCATAAACACAACACTCCATAAGGGCAACAGAAATCTAACCACAAAAAAACTATATAGGATACCCTGTTAAAACACAAAAATAAATTTGAGAGTATCATTAATACCAATTTACATGGCTTTTATGAAAAAAAAAAAAAGAAAAAACAAAGTAAAAAAACCCTCCTTTCTGGTTGCTTTCTTTGGCTAGAATCTAGAACTCAGCTGCAGATACATGTTTAAATAGTCAGTGCTATTCATCTTTATAAGGGGTTTCAGAATAATAAGAGATCATAGCTGATGAAACCTGTGGATGAATAAGGCCTGTGAAGAGTTAAATGCTACCACATCATCCTATGAGACCCAGATACAAGAGCACAATCATGTGTAACCTTGGCTCATTTAAGCAAAGTTTGCTTTTATTCAAAAGCAAGCATACATGTTGAATGAAGAAATATGTTCCTCAACAAAAACACAAAAGAATCCACCTGTTTAATCAGCAGTGTTGGGGCTATTAGTACTTTGCTATTTAAGTAATGAAGGAATTCACAGGTTTCAAATTCACTCTTGTTGATATGTATGTTGGCAGGTTGGTCCATCCAGCCATGAAGCAAAATTTCTCCATATATTTTTGAGTTCTTCGGTAATAAGTAGACAAACTGTCAAGGCTTGATAATTTCACTTTGATTTCCACATGAGACATGAGAGGTCCTTCTGAAAGTTACCAATTCCCCTTTTCCTGTCTATCCCAAAGACAGAATTTCGGACATCTCAGCAGCTAAAAAAAGGTCTTCCAGTAGTTTTTGTAACTTTATGTCTTGATATTAAACATTACCAAGTATTTGTTGTTGTTCTGTGTTTAAGGCAATTTTTTCCAGTGGTGTGAACATTTTCTTTCTTGACAAGATTTTAATTTCCACTATACAGACGTGAACTTAAAGAAAATCTCCAGAAGAGAAGGGGGTTTCTTTTCGCTTGTAGTTGGTGTTAACTTAACTCTGAATTTCCTTTTTCCTGCTGTTCTCTTCTTCCTTGGATTTTGTTGGGCTTCCCCCCATGTGACTGGGGACAATTCTTTTTGGGTAGCTTTTAATCCACTAGTGATAATTCAGAAAAAATTCTAGGTTTAATATCATGACATCCAGTGATTGAATTTGATTGTGTTGAATAAATTCTCTCAACATGAACTCTCAAAGCAATGGTTACTATGGTTTGTTTGTGACTTGTACGTGGAGCATGAACTCAGTGCAGCACACATGAACACCAGCTCGCTCATGAAATTATGGCTTCTCTGCCTGGTGCACAGCATCATCATTTTTTTAAGACTACACCTGTCTGTTGAGGGGGTAGCTTCTGTGCAGATTCTTACACTGCCACTTTTCTAGTGGAGGCTTGCTAGAAAATTATGTCCAGCCTTGTAAAACTTTCATTAAATACATATTTGAAGATGTTCAGGGACCTGTATATCTTTTAATAAATGCCAAAATATCTTTTTATCTCTCATCCTTTCCCTTAAAACTCTGTCTCTGAGCAAGAAAAAGTCATCAAGACTGCATAAGTACTCACATGAAATTCTGCAGCTGGTTTTTCCAAGCAGATTGTGGAATTATATTATAATTTAGTTTCAAAGCACAGGTACTTATATATACTGGATGGCCTGTGAAGTTTTTGCATCTTGTTCATGTCTTGGCAAAGACGTTTTCAAGGCCTTGTGCAGGCAGTACATTCTTCTATGTAGAACCTCTTCCTCTCTACTCTGGTAAGATAATGCAACAAAGATTTTTAAGAAGCAGGTTCAACAAAATATGTTTGCTCTGGCATGTGTTCAGTACTGATATTTTACCCAATACTTTATGTAAAACAGCAAGGTTCTGTCTTCAGCTTGATACATCAGTCTGTTCTTTATTTCAGCAGCTAAAGGTTTGAAACTGACAGCACCTTCCTCAGCAGCATCTGCCCCACAGTTTCCACCTCCTCCACCAATCTCTTACCCAGCCCTGCAGGTTAAGGCAGCTCCCAGTCTGCCTCCCAGAAACATCAAGCCCAGCTCTGAAACAAGGTAAGTGAACGTAAACCTCAAGGTCTTTATTGTTTCACCTTTTTCTGTTACTTTGCTCATGCAGCTGCAGATGAATACTACAGGAGTCCCAGGTTTCTGGGGGAGTGAAGTCTTACTACTGTCCTTGTCTCGCCCTGGCCTTATCCTGTCTGGAATTAGTTTTTATTAGTTTGAACCCTTCATCTATTCAGTTGTTTCCCTGAATTGCCTTAGCTATAACAACACTTTTTTTGCCCTGTTGGGGGGGCTGGGGTAGGGAGAAGGGAATAGACTGAGTTTTTATTTCAAACCTGTTGAAAGACTTCATACATGGGTAGAAAACCAGTTGTAATAAATAACTGAAGGTTTACCCTGCATTTTTCTGGGGTAAGAGAGCAAGGAGAGTCATGTCTATGAGTCAATAGCCCAGGAAGTAGCTTTGCAAACCAGAGGAACTGAGCTCAGTCCTGGCTGTGAAACTGCGCCTCGGACACATCATGGCCTTATGTGATAACTCTGAGAAGCCTCTGTCAATACAGGGCTCCCTTCTTAATCCTTCTTTGAAGACTTGCATACAAAAGTGGAACCTCTGATGAAAAAGAGTTATAAGTACTTTGATCCTGTGTCAAAACTGACTGGAATAAAGCTGAGCCTGAATAAGGAGATGCTCTCTGGCCAGCAGTTACTGCAAAAAGCAGCAAACAACAGGCAGGGAGAGTTGGAGAGGCGTGTGCCAACACAGGGCTCTGTGTCAGTGTGGCCAGAGTGACAGCATCACTCCAGCCTCAAGGCCACGGTACCTGCAACAGCCATCCTGGGTATCCTCATCTTCACCTTCAGTGACCTGCGAAATTTACCTCCAGATGGCCCTTCTGGTCTTCCATTCCTGTGTGCCCTCTGGGGTCTCCCCTCCACTGAAAACTTGTGCCTGGGTGCTGACACCTGTGCTTTCACCTGTTTCTGTGCTTTTGCTATGAGGCCAATTTTAGAACATCCCATTCTGCTTCAAAGTCCATTCTTTGGTTACCCTTCTTGGATGATCACTATCAGCCCTAATTCTCTTTCAGCTGTTACAAGACATATTAAAGTAAAAAGTCCCTGATATTACTAGTTATATTCTCAATTTCTTGCTTCTCTCAGTTGGACAGCACTTTTAAATCTAACATCAGAGACCTTTTACTTGGCCTAACCTTACACTACTGCTTCTCTTGTCCCTTGTTTAGACTTTAAGCCCTACAAGTCAAGGAGTAGTCTCAGAACTATATTTAACATTGAGCAAAAGTCTGGCGTTGTGCTTGTGTATTGTGTAAGAAGCCTGCACCTGCAAGGATAGTTTAAAAGCCCAACATATTTTTTTCATTCAGTCAGCCCATCTGCTGACTATATTTTTCATACCATACTCATCTTCATGGTATCTGAGTGCCTTTGGCTTATTTTGATCTTTTATTCTCAAGATCAAGGTGTCCCCATCTGAAACACCAAGCCACAATCAGGAAGAATAATTTAAAGAATCTTGTTTCTACTAAGTAGGATATAGAGCTCGATAGACTGTCCAGCCATTGTATAAAATAGATGGAAAAAGCAGCAGGACAATGGTGGATGAAAATATAAATATAAAATATAAGACCGCCTTCATAGGTTTCACGTCTCCACTTTTTCATACTTACAGAAATCCAGAAAATGAAGAAAATTATGATGACGTGGAATTTGTTTTACAGGGTAAGATGCATACATTTTAATCAGTGGCAACTATGAGAAGCTGCAAGAAAGTTGTATTTATAAGATAAGCAAAAGAATATTGTTTTCTATGTGTGATTTGTGTAACTAATTATACTAGTTCTGTAGTTTCATGAGTGAAGATGGTTGTCTCATAACAGTAACTGTTCTACTGTTCTATGATTAATATGACAGACTTTCAGGAACTGCTTTAAATAACTTCCCTCTTACCTCCCTCCCTCCCTCCTTTCTTTTTTTTTTTCATTAGAAAAATGCCAGGACTGTAAATTATCAGATTTTTTAAATCTGAACCAAAATGAATGCTGTTCTTTCAGAGCTGAAGTTGTGTGGTCTGGTGAAGGAGGCACTGGTTTATACTTGCTAAAAAAAAATAAAAATTGTTGACTGTGCTTTTAATGTTGCTTTGTGGTCTGCCTCAATTAGAGGCAGTGAGCCACTATGTTGTACCAGGAGCAGCAGAGAAGCAGATTGTGACATAAAAAATTTCAGTCTGCCTTCTGATCTCTCTTTGGGGGGACTCAGTCTGTGCCAGGCACAGTGTGCATCATTTAGTGTGCTGGCCATCCCTGACGGACAGCAATGCAGACTGTGGAGCTGAAACTGAGCTTGTCTAACCTAACTCCCTGCAGACTAAGGAGGAAGCAGGAAAGTCACAGAGCTTCTTCTCCTGCAGCCCAGGGCAGACACTGCCTTAGCCAAAGGGCCTTTGGCCTCCTTATTCAGCTGTGGGGCTGGTGCAAAAAAGTTCTTTGAGATCTGTTTGGATTTCTTAGGTTTTTAACCATGACTTTCTCATATAAATATGCATTTTTGTAAACAAATAGTATAGGTAAATTTTTCAATGTCACTAAAGAATCTTTAAAACAAATTTTCCACTTTTAAAATACAGAGTTAAATATGCTGTTTGTAGATATTTTTATTTTAGAGTGTACTATAAAACCAATTTGGAAGAATTCTGATTTTTGCATTCATAACCTCATTAAAAACCTGGAGTCTGCACATACTTCTGATCAATATCACTTGTATTATTAGTAGTTTAAAACAGTTAATGCTACAATTAATTGTTTTGTGTACAAGAAAAAATAAATACCCAGTTTTTATTTTTTCTCCTATAGGTCATGGAAGTACACAGGGGGTAAGTGCTATCCTCCAAGATAAACATATCATTTTTAGCAAAAAACTACCAAATTTATTAAAACCCCTTAAATAAATTAGAAAATTAATTGCAGAAATGATCCAGTATATTGACAGTAAGTTGTAGAAGGACTAACTTATTGTGAAGGACGGAAATAAATTCAGGTAAGCAGAATAAACCAGAACTAATTTTCAAAGCTGACTAGACACCAAAAATTGATTAAAAAAAAAAAAAAGAGGCAAAAGTACACCTTCTAATACCACTGACATTTCATTTCACTACAATTTTCCAGAAACAAGGATCCTGCTGCATTCTAGTAAGAGAATATTTTAGTTACTCTTTCAGTTAAGCACAGTTTTATATTGGTATGCTTAAGTACCTGGTTATAGGAAGACTAAAACTATCTCTTGGACCCTAATCTTAGCCCCATTTAGATCATTAACATTCCAGTTTAAATAATGCAAACTCTGACACCTTCATCATAGCAGTGCAATCATCAGCATGGATGCAGATTTTTCAGGACTAACGTTGCGATTAAAATGTCCCCTTTGGATTAAGTAGTGTGCTGGTGTGATTCTAACAATCCAGGACTTCATGGTTGTGGTATTGTAAAAACAAAGGTAGGGGAAAAAAGAATAGTGGGATTGTATAACGTAGTAACTTGTTTTGGGAAGATTAAAGGAATTTGTGTTTGCATTTTGCTATAAATGTATTTTATATAGTTTATGTGAAGCTTACCTAGCAGGCTCAGTTTCTTCATGTCTTTCCAATTGTACTTAGACCATTTAAAACTGATTTGTTTGTTTGTTTGTTTGTTTGTTTGGTTTGGTTTTTGTTTGTTTGTTTGTTTGTTTGTTTGTTTGATTTTGGTTTTGTAGGGCCAAAAAAGTGATGTAGAGATGTATGAAGATATAAATGACATCAGGTAGCAATTTTAAACTCTATAACCTATTGTATCTTTATTACTATCTTTGTTAACAAAGATATTTCATCTGGCACAAAAGTGTCATTCCACTGCAGTCCTTGCCAGGGATTATTGTGTTCATTCATTTCACCTAAAGAAAGTCCAGTTGTTCTAAGGTTCTTTTCTAGTTAGATCTGCCATGCCTCATGCTGGAAAAACTCCTGTAACGAACCGATGTTGTTACTGTGATTGAGGTAAACAGAAGTCTGATTTCTGATCTGAGGAACATGTCTGAACCACTTGTTGGAATTACAGTCTAGTTCTCTAGAAAATAAGTTCAGCCCAAGATACTATGGTACCAGATAGATTTTTGTTGTGGTCGTTTTTCTTGCTTTTCAGATAAATTTTCTCAGAACTCCTGTGGGAGGCTAGATTGACAATTTTCATTGCCTGAGTACACTAGCCAGAATACAAGCTCTCTTATTCTTCTTCCATTTAGACCTTTACTTTGAGGATTCTTTTGCCCTGGTAATATCTAAATGTATGGCATTTACTGTATTACGATAGCCAATTCCCTTCAAATAAGTAATAGATGTAGAATATGTCAGATTTAGAAGGACTTTCAGCAAAAATTTATTGGTGAATTCCCTTTGCAAATAAGTGATATTAATACATGTTTTATAACCCAAGCAAATGATCTTCATTCAGTCTTCTTTTTTTTTTTTTTTTTAGTATAATTTAAGCATATCAGCTTATCAAAACTATCCTAAAAAAGGAATGAAACTGCTACCAGTTTCCAAGCTTGTTCAACACAATTAGGTCAGGGACATTTGGATACACACATGTAGAGCTGGTATTTTGCCTCCAGGTAACCTTTCCTGGTGTGCTGTCCCCTTAAGGACAGCCACTCTAAATTATATATGTAGTAAAGGATTCCTTACTCTATTTGTTGCAGCTTCACTAGAGTTTAGAATCCATAGCTTTGATTTCACTTGGAGAAGTCTTTTTTTATCGCATGTAATTTTTTATCAACCTTGAGTAAGGAAGCTCTAGGGAAGATTTGCTTCACACGTTCATTCCTGGCAATGCACTTCCAGATCATCAAGGGAAAAAGAGAAGAAGCAGAACAAAGAAGATAAGAGAAGAATGGAACAAGAGAAAAGAGAACAAAAGGAAAAAGAAAAGAAAGAACTGGAATTAAGGAAGAAGTTCAAAGTAAGCTTTTTGTTTTGTAATCTGGTCAAAAACACCTAAGAAGGATTATTTTGCAGTGTCAAGTTCAAAATACACTTCTCATCTAGTTACAAAATTATTTGTTATAGTAGGTAGTTCAAATACCTGAATAAATTCTGAATAAAGTTTTAAACTACCCTTTTATGTTGGGCATATGCTTGACTTCAAGCCTCGCACTGATGGCAAGGACTTTGTTCAGTGCCTTTACAGTTTTCTTTAATTTACCTTCACAACTTCTTCTTTCCATGGTAAAAAAAAAAAAAAAAAAAAAAAAAAAAAAAAAAAAACCAAAAAAAACCCAAAACCACTAGTTTTCACTTTTCTGTTTCTAATGATTTGCATCATTAGAATAGCATCAAAAGTCTTTAATAAAAGTGGNAAAACCAAAAAAACCCCAAAAACACTAGTTTTCACTTTTCTGTTTCTAATGATTTGCATCATTAGAATAGCATCAAAAGTCTTTAATAAAAGTGGGAATTGTATCCCATATACTTAGTGTTACTTGCTTTGCTGTAGTCAGATACAAAAGTATCTAGCCCTTGAGAGATTTCAAAATTGCAACATATTGCCCTTGCACTTGGCATAAAGGTATCTAAACGGATTTACAGCTTAAGTGGGGAGGAAGTGAATAGGGCATGTGTAGGGGAGCTAAAGTCTGTGTGTCAGGCTAAATCATGAGGCAGTTCTTTCTGTTATTAAATAATATTTATATATCTGGTGGTCAGCATGCTCCCACAGTTTGCAAATCAGCCAGTCAGTTTCTCTAAACTAATATCTGTTCACAATGCTCCACTGTGCTGCTTTCAGTGTCATTGTACATAGTGGGCAGCTTTGTTTTATTTCCTATTATGTTCGGTACACAGTAAAGCCATGGTGATTGTCTCACACTGAGGCCTTGGTCAGCTGTGGAGAGACTGGCATGACTTGATAAGCAAATATTAAAGAACCACTTAGTTAATAATAGTGGGTTAACCACTCCTGTGAAGTGTAGGTATTAGTGCCCAGAATGCTTTTAGCTTGCAGACTGTTGTCCTACAGCCATTAAGGAATGTTATTATATTTAAATGCAAACAAATATATTTTAGTTGGTTTTTTTTTCACATTTATTCGCCACCAATACACCTATATTCCTGACCTATTCTCTAATTGGCAAGAGCACTATGCCTCTGAAAGGTCATATATATCTCAAAGTCACAAATACTACAATCCAAAATGGTTTCTCCATAATGTAAAGATCCCGCAAAGCAAATCCTAAACTCCGGTAAACAGTGTGATCATCTCTTGTGAGTATTTGCAATATCATTTATAGAAAAGAATTGTAAACACAGAGGATTATGTGATAGACTCTTTAATGTTAATGAATTTTACTCATGTGACTTGTATCAGCAATAGTGTGGCCAGCAGGACCACAGCAGTGATTGTCCATTTGTACCTGGTACTGGTGAGGCTGCACCTTGAATCCTGTGTCTGGTTTTGGGCCCCTTGCTACAAGAAGGACATTGATGTGCTGGAGAGAGTCCAGAGAAAGGCAATGGAGCTGGTGCAGAGTCTGGAACACAAGTCCTATGAGGAACAGCTGCAGAAGCTTGAGGTGCTCAGCTTAGAGAAAAGGAGGCTCAGGGGAGATCTTATTACTCCAAACAAATACCTGAAAGGAGGTTGTGAGGTGGAGATTGGTCTCTTCTCCCACATAACAAGGATTAGGACAAGAGGAAGTAGCCTCAAGTTGTGCTGGGGGATATTTAGTTTGAATATTTCTTCCATTGAGCTCAGTGATCTCAGAGGTCTTTTCCAACATAAAAGATTCTGTTTTGGTGAGTAGTTCTGCTGGAAATACATGGAGATGTGCACTGGAATTAAATATGTCTGTTTTGTAAATTCATGAAAGGGTCCATAGTTAGTTTGTTGGTTTTAGTTTTTGTATTTTTGTGATTTTGCCAATCAGTTCAACTGGTCTACTTCCATGCTGTTCCCCTCTCTTTTAATCTCTGATTATTAATTTAAACTAGGTAGTTGTGGTGGCAGAAAGCCTTTCTGTTTATTTGCCTAGGCCACTTTAAATGTCAATGAAACAAGTAATCATCATAACTGTTATTTTTTCTTTCATTCTAAATGCCTGGGAGAAAAAAACTCCATTTTCCACATCTGTGATTTATTTTGTTCCTTCTTTTCTTCAGTTAATGAGACCCATTGAAGTTATTCATCAGGCACGAGCTTGTGTTGACTACAAAGGGGGGAAGAATGAACTGACTGTCAAAGAGGGGGATAAGATTGAAATCATTCGCCTCACAGACAACCCAGAAGGAAAGTGGCTGGGCAGGATAGGAGAATGCTGTGAGTTCTGTTTCTTCCTTGTGCTCCTGAATGTTTTCACTGTATGACAGCAAACAGGTGAGCATTACACCAAAGAGTAGCCTTACCAAGGCTGACTCGCTGGCCGCCAAAGAAAGTAATTACCACAGCTCGCCCTCCTGTGCCAAGCTAGCATGAAAGGTTTAGTTCATACTATGAAGTTATTGCAAAACATGATGTAACATTTATAGGCACTAAAATAAGTCAGGTACAATATGTTGGGACCTTCATTGACACACTGAGAAGCAATTCCCTGTCAGCTTTCAAATAGCATCAGAACTGGGCACTCTGCAAGTAACAAGGATCACATTTTTTCCTGTCTTTCTCTTAATCATAACATTGGTGTTCCTAAAATAGAAATAGAGACTATAAGGACCAGTTCTAAGTCTTTATCTTGTTTCTACTCCTACGGAAAGTTTCTAACTGATTTTTAGTTTTTATTTTGTCTGAAATCCAAGATGTTTTTCTAATTGTATAAATATCATCAGTGGATCTGTGAGTGTGATAAAGAGATTGATGATCTGGCTCCTGGGTTATAAAAGACTGATCCATTGAATCAATCAAAATTATTAAAAACACTTGCATGATTTTTAAGAGGACTGTCTAAAATTCCCCTCAGGAGATACAGAGTTCCTCATCTTAGGCCAACTGTTCTGATGACCTAAAATATGCACAAGACTGCAGTGGTTCCAAGGTTAGCTGAGAAATGGAGTCTGCCTCATGATTCCAGGAGTCTGCACAGAAAATTCTGAGCTGACAGCTGAGAAGCAAATAAGGGTGAAGTTAACTTGACACCACCTGAGGAAGGCTTAGTGGGGAGACAGATCTGAGATTTGTATTTGTGTTGACAGATGGAGAGTGAAGCTTAGGCTGCTTGGAATGAGACACTTTGAAAGTTTTCAAAACTCATTAAAAAAATTTCAGTTCTGAACCTTCTGTTAAACTCATCCCTTTACCATGACCTTTTAAAACTGTCTCTGCCTAATGATTTCATTCATTTAGATGGATACATTAAAACAACCATGGTAGAGATTGATTATGACTCTTTGAAAAGAAAGCAACGAGCACCTACTGGAGCCAATGTGGAATTTTCAGAGAGTGACATGGAAGTGTATGATGATGTTGGAGAGCAGGAGAGCTTGATAAGGTATGTATAAGGAATACATGGAAAGAAAAAAATAATTCATCCCAGTCAGCCTAGCCAGGGGAAGTTTTACAACAACAAAGCCAACTCTTGTCACGGAACAGTCATTTGTATAAGAAACATATAAGTTGGTTAGAGGAGCATAAATGAATTCTGGAATCCATCATCTGGATGGATATGTTCAGGAGGAATTCATACTATTGGAAGAGGACCTACACTATTGCAGTCCAAAAGAGAACAAAATGCAAACCATACAGGATTACAAATCATATGCAGGAAGTGCAATTCTCTTCACTCCCTCTCTTCTCTCATCCTGTCTTTTGAAGTCATGTAGTCCCTTTTCTAACATGAAAAAATAAAAGACTCTAAAAGCAATTCACTGCAGGAGGGAACTCCTGATAACCCCCATTGCTTTCATGAGACTCAGTGTGAGTCCATAAGTCTTTTGTTGAAGAGAAGGGACTTCTGGAATCAAGTTTAGGATGGCCCTTCAGGAAAGAGTGTGGCTAATGAGTTTAATCCTGAAAACAAGGCCTCTCAAGTTCCATGAGATGGGTATGAGCTTTTTTTGACTTTTTTGACTTCACCAGAAGCTTCTTCTCTATGGAACGGTCTCACACACATTTGCAATGCAGTGCTCCACTGCATACTCTCTACTTCAATATGTCATCTTTTACATGTCAAACAGATCTGCAGTTAAGATCTTCTTAGTACACTTCTCTAAGTGCCACCTCCAGCAGCAGATCAGATTTGCAGGCTGGGAAATATCCTAGTGACCTTGTGACAGGAGTCAAGGCTATCACATAACCTAGCATGACAGTGGTACCCTCCGTTACCAGATCTCACATAAAAGCCTGCTTCTGAAATGTGATGCAACAAACTAGTGCTCAATCTCCACTACATGTCCAGATGTGCAGAAATACATAGCCTGGGACAAGGGATCTGCATACAGCTGCAAAGAATTTCCATATGTAGGACAACCATCTTGAAACAGCCATTACCCCTGCTTTCACTGCTTCCCATGAGGCTTCTTAACTTTGTAGGCCTGCATGGAATAAAAGGACTGAAGCCGGCCGGCTGCTGAGTGCAGCTGATCCTCAGTTGATAGAACATTCCCATTGAGCTCCAGAAACAGCACTTGGAAAAGTCTGTCTTCAGGCTGGCATTCTTAAGCAACAAATCTGATACTTTGACAGCTTGCTCCATATCAGTTTTCCTCCCTGCACATTGGCTTCATGGCATCATGACCTAGCCAGGAGACTTGAGTTAGTTGTTCTACATTTTAGGTAATCCCAGCAATAGTTACTTCATTGCAAAAGTATCTTTGGCCAATCCTTCTCACTATGGCAAGAATCACAATTAACCATCTCAATGCAAGGTATTTAGAAAATCTGTTGAATGTAAAAGCAAACAATAATACTGACACTGTTGTGTACTAAAATAATAGTGTATTCCAAGGAACTTGGAAGGATGAATGATTTGCTCAGCTTCATTAAATCTTTTAAACTGTATTTTGACATTTTTATCTTCTCTAGTGATTAATAGCATTCTGTTAAGTTCTTGAGCATGAATTATTGGAAGGTCTGACATACATCAACATGTTTTGAAACCACTGTAAGAATGCCATTCTAAAAAAAATCTCTTGACCAAATAGTATTAACTCATTATCAGCAGTATTGCTAATATTCAAAAATTAATAAGTGATCATGGCTGTCATATTTCAGGAGTTCTTGGCCCAAAAGTTTGACAAATAACTTGGTTCGATGTATGGTTTTAAGTAAGACTCTAACTTGGAAGTAATCTCAGCTACTGTGAACCTCTCAGGGTTTTTTCAACTACTATTAGAACATTGGGCTAACACAGAAACTTTGAAATGTTAGAAACATGCAGTTAGAGGTTTAAATTGTACCCAACAAAAGCTAGTTGAGCAATAAATTAATTTGTTTAACATTTCATTTCAAGAAGATCCCTCATAGGGAATGAATCTAAAGGGTCTGGATGCACTCTCTAGTGTTCAGTTGGATTATATTTTTATTCCCATCAAGTTAGACTACATGACCCCCGGAGGTCACTTCCAACATAAATTATCATATGACCCAAAGGCATATTTTGTACTTTAGTTTAAAGATATGAACAAGAATATAAAATATATTCTAAATATAGTAAATCATTATAGCTGTAGACATCAATTTGCATTTCATTGAAAATGACACTTCATTGGAAATTGCTAACAATTGCTAACAATTAGGACCCAATATTCTGCTTATATGAAAAAGTGCAGCTTCACTGGCTTGAAATATCTGCATTGATTTGTGAAAATAAAGAATTTGCTTCACAGCTTTACTTATAAAATACTAAGGATCGTACTGATAACCCTCTTATTCCCCTTTCAATTCCTTTGAGCGATGTATTAAAGCACTCTTTTATGATTTGTAACTAATTATTTCCCAGGAAAAAAGCAAAAAAAATGAAGCATTTTTCCTGCTTTACCGGAATCTACTAAGAGTTAATTTTTCTTCATCTAGGCCCTAGTTCATGTCTGAACTAGATTACGGATTTTCTTTGGCATTAGTAAGAATACAAACTACTTATTTGACTGTAAGAAATTGATGTGAGTGTGGTGAAAGCAGACAGAAAGGAAGAGCTGGCACATTTAGTTATTCCCCACATAGAAAACACAAGCATGTGTCTGAGCTTCCAGTGCAGAACTTGTAATGTTCAGCTGATATGAACATGAGTGCTAAGGCCAAAAGCTTTAGAATTAATAACTGAAAAAGGGATGGGTGATCATGATGTTTTCTTTTACTCAAGGATGACTGCTCTTCTCTAAAATGTCTTTTTTTTGCTTTTCCAGCCTAGGTTCTGACAATAGTGGAACTGGAAGTAAGTTCTACATAAACATTTTGGGGGAGTTGTTAGTGTGTATTTTTTACAGCTTCCAGATAATGCACTAATTACCATAAGCATATTAAATGTTTGCTAACGGGCAACAAACAAGGAAGTATAGTAGCCAAATTACCTTCCCCACCACTTACAGGAACTTGAGTGAGATAGGAGTTTTGTCTTCAGATACTGTGAATCACTAGCAAGACAGATGACTGAACTTGGTTTTTGTGTGTGTGTGGAGGTAAATCATCCCACAAAACAGCACAGATATAGCTGTCAAAATACTAAGATGAGCAAGGGTTTCTGTGCTGGAGAATTCTGGTTCTGAAAAAACCAGTAATACTACCAAATAAAGCTGCATTTTGCTAGCAGAGTTAAGGGCAACTTCAGTTACAGTAATACACTGGAGTCCCAGATGCAGCAGGTCCACGCAGTCAAGAACACACATTAGAACCCAGTTTCCCCTTTGGTAACCTATATATTTATATAGCATTCTCTGTTGATCACAAGAGCACAGCTCATCTTCTCAGCTTAGAGTTTAGATACTGGTCATGGCAGAAGCATCCCCTGGCAGTACTGAACGGAGTTGCTGCCAGCCAAGTACAGATTTCAGTGATTACTCTGACCAGTGGCTGGAATTGCACATGCAAACTGAGCTAACTCTGCACTGAAGGAGGTGGGGCCCAAAGGTCAAAACTGAGGCCAAAATGGGGAGCTTACATTACACTTATCTCTGACTTCCATGGATGAAGACAAGATGTCCCTTGCTAAGAGTATTGGTCTGGCATCTTCAGTTATCACTTGAGACACACATAAAAATTTAAAAGTCATCCTAGTGTCTGGGCCGAATCAGCCATTTAGAATTTCATTGACTACAGTGTAGAAGCATCCATATTCAGTATCCATGCTCTTGTGATTGGCAGTGCCACATTAAAATTCTGTGGATGGCATTCCCAACTGAGATAAGTCTAAATCACTGTTTTAATAAACAGACTGTGCTGGTTTACAGAAATATTCCGTTTACAAGGATATTGCCTAAACTCACGCATGTCTAATATAGTTAAGAGGCCTGTAATGAATACCCTATTCTGCAGCATTAAATATATTTGCATTAATTCATTGTTTCATCTGTTAAAGATGTGTTCCCACCTCCTCCTCCTTCTAATCAAGATATTTATGATGAAATTGATGATGGAGATCCCATAGCAAGGTAAGGTTTTATATAATTTAAATAATTTTCTACTTTAACAGAATGTTTTCAGGTTTTAGTATTTTTTAATTAGATGTAATAATTAGCAAGTATTAGGATGATCAGCAAGTGGGTATATATCAGTATGAATTTGTGAAGCTAAACTAAAAAGGTTCTTCTGTCTTTTGGAGAAATTTTGTTCTGTAATTAATTTTAGTAAGTCAGAAAAAGCAGTTGCAATCATAAAAATCTCCTAATCCCCAAGCAGACAGAATAGGTCTGAATTGAAAATAACAAACTAAATCGCTAGCTAGCTGAGTAACAGCATGAAAACAGTAAGCCACTAGATTAATATATATACTACGAATATATCTCAGTATCTACAAGTAACATAACGTACATATTTCTAGTTTAGCATTTTACCATTTGGGTAAGTGACCTCACTTCATGGTATATATACATTGTTGGCATTAATGATAATTATGTGCATCAATGGAGAATTTAAACTGGGCCTTTTAAAAAGAACATTACATTTGACATTGTGATAATCGCATGCGTACTCCAAAGGTCTGTATCACAGGATGAAGATAAGAATGGTATCTGGTCCTGGGGAATCTTGAAGAGGCTAAAGGTCAAAGATGACAAAAAGAAAAGTATACGAGAAAAAACAACCAAAGTCAATGAGGCAGAAGATAATGGAAATTTATTGTAAGAGTCTGCCAGGAAATCACAGTGCACATTAACTAATTCTAATAAAGCATTGATCATATGCTACTAACATGTCCTCACAGCAGCCTAATGAATCATGCATAAAATTGTAGCTCAGGATGATACTTTTCTGCAAAAACACTGAGCTTTCTTTTCACCTGCATAATTATTCTCTTAACAAGCCGTATTTTTTGCAAAAGTCTGGTAAATATAATACGCCAACTTTTCGGTGAAGAGCACCAAATTAATCCATCATCTTTGTGCCACTCTGGTGATGCAAATTTGCTGTATCCTCAGTTAAAATGTACTTTGCTTACCAGTACAGCGTACCTGAGATAAACTGGTAAATCTAGACCCATTAATCCAAATTTTAGGATTAATATTCCAAGCAGAAAAATGCAAAGATTGTCTTCTACTCATCTTACTTAGAGGTTAGGTCAGCAACTGCTGTTTTTACCACCTGCCTCAGTCATTCAGTTCTGAAAAAGTTTACTTTGATTCAGTGGTAAAAATACATTTAGTCCGAAGCATTGGTGGTGTCAGTGGCACCTCAAAATTTCCGGAGATTATTTGGAGCCCCGGTGTCGCAATTTTTTAGATTATTTAGGTTACAAAAAAGCCTATGAATATGCTATAAATACTTAATAAGCTTTCTTTCACCTCCCCTCCCCAGCACATCTTCTTCAACAAAGCTGTCTGGAAAAGGTAATTAATAGTCTATTGTTCAGTCTCTCTATTGATTCCTGATCCTTTTTTCTGTATACATTGCTCTGTATCATTCTAGTCACAAAAATACATCCAAGGAAGGAAACAGGATTTCCTATTGCTTATCCAGTTCTAGTAAACAAATTTCAAACATTGTGACTGATTGGCTACAGACAAGGAGATGCATATACATTGCAAGCTCTCTAGAAAACAATTTAATACATTTAATGTGATTTTTCTATCTGAGATTTACACTAGTTCATTTTATTGGAACTTAATTTGAACAGATACACTTGGAAAGAAGCACTCAGTAAAAGACTTCAAAAGTAAAAAGAGGTTCTTGCTGTTACTTTTATCACTTGCAGTATCCCTGTAAAATAATATATAATTCATAACCATTGGCTCAGCCATGGAACAAAAAGCAACTTCTTCCAATTTTTGAGGCTGTTTCTAGAACTGAGGTCTAAACCTTTTATAACCTACTGATTTCTCTAGGCATTGATTTGATGAGTTAAAGAATTGCTTCCTTTCTACAAATACACTGAATGTGGTTCAAAGAATATTCCTGGGCTAAAATTTTTTTTGCTTCTTTGATGTTGCAATATGGCCTAAAAAATAACATACACGTGATTCATATCCACTTTTAAGCAATGTTGTATTGACAAGAGTGCTATACAAGTCCTTCAATATATGTTAAAATCAAATTCCAAAAATACATTTTGATGCACTATAGTGGGACATGGATTAATTAAAGTGAAGATTAAAGGCTATTGCATTAGCCATCATGTGCTAAAACTTGCTTAAACTTCAGAAGATTAAAATTTCAGTGACTACTGGTTATTGCTATTAAAGAGTCTTAATCTGAAAAGATTGGGTGGTGTTGCACAGTAGATTGTGCTAAACAGAGAATCCACAATTACTATAGACAGTAAATGGCTACAGTACTTGCCTGTTTTCTTGTCAACTTCAGTAAAATACCATAGACTGTAATACAGTGTATTCACTTCTTAAGTTTCACATAATAACATTTCATTCTCCTAAACACTATTATTTCAGATTGTGGAGAGGATGTGTATGATGACGTGGATTCTTCGGACTTCCCTCCACCGCCACTTGATGATATGTAAGTGGAAATATTATGATTAGAAATCTAATACACTGAGAGATATTTTTAAAGTATTTACTAGAGGCAGACTACTGTTAATGTCTGCTTCACTTAGGGTTGTCAGGTTTTGTAGTTCTCAAAAACCAAATGGCAGTTGAATGCTCTTTCCTCCCTTTCAGATTGGAACAATAATTAGACCATAGAAAAAGTAAGAGGTAGAAATGGATGCATGGCCTAAAGGTACTTTTCAATGTAGATTCTCTGCACATAGTTCTTCTTCTATCAAAATTTGGGAACTGTTAGGATACATACTTGATCTCAGCTGCTCCAGTATTTTAAGAGAAAAGGAGACAGGGCTCTGTGTTATAAGTATGAAACACATCTGGAGGTGTAAAGTTCAGCTAGGAAGACTTTTATCCTGAATCAGAAAATTATGGTCATCTCTGGAGCACAGACGTGTTATGAGCACAGATGCATCTGTGATGATGACTGCAAAATGATGCATTCTGGTGTCACTTACTCCACTCAGGTGGAGCAACAGAGTGGACTATGATAATCTAGTCTGGAGACGTTAAAACAGAGAGAGCTCTTAGGACTGTGTATCCAAAGGAAAATATGTGGCCCTTCTAAACTAAGTCTAGATTAGTTCACACACACACACACACACAAACATTCATCACTAATGAAACTGTCATCCAGAACTCCTACAGAGATCAGCAAGGATCAAAAAGGAGAATCAGACTTTACAGTACCAGATACAGCATCAGAAAGGACAGTTAGGGCATGAAACACTTCCATGCTTCTTGGCATAAGTCAACACTATCAGGGATGTGGAAAAAAAACCAACAGAACCTGAAATGGGTTATGTAATGCAGATTCTCTGGTGCAGCAAGGTTTTTTATGGCCATATAGGACTAACATATGTAAGGCTAAGATGTTCCAGCTGCCTCCACAGTGAGATACACTGTTATTCAGCTTATTGCCGAAAGATACACAGACTTCGTAAAAATTACTCCTTGCTGAGAAATTCTAAAGTGCTGTAGCAGACAGATACTTAAATACTCAATACTTAAATACTCAATACCTCAATATTTGCTTATGTGATAGATACATTAACATCAGAGAAAAACACGAAAGACAACTCCAGCTTTTTATTAATTTTGAAATAAAATCTGTATTGTATTACCTGCACTAGTTTTACAGAGCAACAAAAACATGATAAAGACATATGAAGGAAAATGCATTTTCACCAAAATTATCAGAAACCTTTCCAATACCTCAGATGTGTTGCTGATTTGGTTTTGTCTGTAACCTCCTGCTTTAGTTCATCAAAAGTAGCAAGCTTTGGAAAAAGGAAATCGGATGAAAAAGATGTACAAAAGCATGAACAGATGGAAAGAAAAGAGAAAGAATTCCGGAAAAAATTCAAAGTAAGTTTTGTTCAAAGTAAGTTTTTTTTCACAAAATACAAAACCTAAAATATCTATATGGCATGCTCTCATTTGTGTCCCTTAATCCTTTGAAAGATGAGGTATTACTACTTGTAATAATAGTAGTCTGAGCATCTGCAAGCATGGGCCCATACTACATAGCATATACAATTATTTGGCTAATTTTAGAAAATTTAGTAAAAAATGCATGAGCACAAGCTGTACATTAATGATTTTTAACCAGCATTTTTCTTTTTTTCCAGTTTGTAGGTAAAATAAAAGTTCTTTTTTCTACTACTGTGGCTCAGAATTTACCTAAAAAAAGATGGGGATCTAAAGAATTACATATTAAACCGGGAGAGTCTCTTGATATTATAGAAAGTACGGATGACACCAAGGTCCTGTGCCGCAATGAAAAAGGAGAATGTAAGTTTTATGAAAAAACTGCAGCACATATCAAATTATCAAAGAATGATTGAGTTGGAATATGTGAAAACTCTCTTCCACAACATATCCAAGTAGAATCTAGTACTTGTCTTTTACCTTGTCTGGTAGTTGACAAGAGGCAGATTGTTTTTATTTCATTACCATGTTTTAAGAGCAGCTTGCCTTAAAAAGAACTAAAACACTCCAAGGAGCAAGATATATGAATATGAGAAAAACAGACAACTTGATTACAGAAATTTTGCTTTGCATCAACTAGGATCAGCAGATGTTTCTGTTGCTTCTGTCTCTCCCTCTTTGCCAAAAGGAGTATAGCTATGATACCCCACAGAGTCTAGTAAAGTTCTCGCTGCACCTTTGGATAGCACTTCCTCATTGATTGCAGCCAAGAGAAAATCAGTAACAATATTCTTACTTTTGGTTGCAAGAGATGCAGTTTAATCTTTTCAACAGGCTGGGGGGAATATTGCTTAGGAGTCTTCCACCTAGCCTCTAGCTGATCCAAGGCATATGTCCTTGTTGGCATGTCTGCTTGTTCTGGGAGCTGCATGAGGCCTTCCAGTGTTTCTTTGAAACCTTTGGCTATGGTTTGCATTGGCAGAAGTTTTTGCATTTTTGAAGAATTCCGGACCATCTCCTGATGGTTTCGATTTCTTAATGAGTTTCTGTTACAATACTTTTCAAATCTCCTAACAAAAATTCATTTTGTGCTGGAACAGCCTAGGTTCAAAGTATCCATTGAACAAGTAGCATTTTCTCACTCATTTTTACTTTTTACTTCTGACCTGTGTAGAAGAGAGTCCAATGCTATAAACCTCTGAAGGGGATTCAAGCACTTTCCTGATATTTTTTTCCCCTCTATACTCAACTCTTACAGTCTGGAGTACAGCCCTCTTCCTGGCAGGCCTGCAGGGTGAGGAAGAATTTCTTGCATAACACACATATGTTTTTCAAAATATGGATTTCACTAGTAAAGCCACTTCCCAAAAAAACAGCTTTCAAAGCTCCATTTTTTGAATCAAGCTAATAACAAAGTAGAAAGTAGTTCATGTTGGCTGTTTTCCTCTCATAGTCTTCAAAGTCTTTCAAATAATGACAGGAGCTACTGCTTTGCTATGCATAAAAGAGCAAAACAAATAAAAATATCCTCCCTGGAAACCTCTGAAGAGATCTCTGTCATTTTCCACATTAGTTAGTGAAGTTTGAATTCTACTTCAGTAAATGCATGACAGTTTTGGTTATTTGCTGTGATTGATCAAGTTCCTCAGATCTTAAAGCTATAATTTTACCTTCAGAAGGCCAGATAGACTGAAAATCAGCAATTAGAGATGACTTTGTTACCTTCTTGCACATGAATTCTTTGATTTAATCATTAACTTCTGAAGCACTTCCATAGGTTCAAGCCTCTTCCAACAGTTAAAAAAAATTACAAATTATACTGTAATGTGTTTACACCTTTTAAAGCAAGGGCTGGTGATCTTAGGAACACATTCTGCTATCACTTATTTTGTTATTAAATTATTTGAAATGCCAAAAGTGAAACAAAGAACCGATTTTCATTTACCCTTTTAAATTCCTTCTTAGTCTGAACACATACATCTTTAAATACACAAAAACTTTTAATTCAGGTTCATAGATTTTGCTTAAACATTAGGATATAAATGGATTTCATTGCCTGAAAGTTTTTGTCCTCTCTGAGCTTCCTTTATGATGCAAATGAGCAGCTGGCACGATGTGTCAGAGCTTTCAGTGGTGCGAAGTAATTAACACAGAGTGTGCTGACCTGCTGGCTTGTTCCCTATTTGGAAGCCCTATAAAAATTAATGAATTAGTTAGAAACTGAAACTTTGGACATATAACTTGGGATTAGTAACTCTGAAAGGCTGTGAGATCAGCAGGAGCTGTATTTCTCACCTATTTGAGGGCCAGGGACCATCAAAACTTAGATTGTGCTTTGCCATGATCTAAGCACAGTCACATGCACATGACTTGCAAGCACACTGGGTTTGTATGCCATGATGGTGAGTGAAAAAGCTTTGCTTTGGTGTATTTCAGAAGATTAGAATGATTTAGCCAAATCATTTTAAATTATTCCCTGGAGACTTCAGAAGTAATGGAAACTATTGGACTGTCCTAAAGAGAACTTTAAAAAGACGACATCTTTAAAAAAAAAAAAAAATTCATTTCCATTACTTTATCCCAGATAATAAAATCTGGGGAAGGACAACCAGGCTAAAAAAATCCTGATTAGACAGAGCTTCCTCAGTGGGTTCCAGCTGGCATTCAGCCTGAGACAATATGCAGGTGACTGAAAATCTGGAGCACTGGATTCTTTGACTTTTGAAGATTACTTGCAGCTCAACAGCTTTCGTAGGCAAATGTTATAAAAGAATTTATGTATGTATCAAATCTTCATGACACCAAAGATAGAAATACAGGCAAATCAAGCAAATTTTATCTTATATGGCAGCAATCAAATATTAAAAGCACAGAACTGTTTTTTAATTCATGTAATTGTTAAGTCTTAAACAGTAGCTAATGTAGGTAAGTGTAAAATAAAATATTATCATGCAAAATTAATGCCTTTTTAGGCAACTTCAGCTCTAGCACGAGACAGAAGTTTTCTTTTAAAATCCCATGTTTGTAAATGTATTATGGCCTTTACAGATCAAATCACTAATCCACTATATATAGCATATTCTAGAAAAAAACCCCTTATGTACTTTGAGATTTATATAACATCTGATATAGATCTATTTTAAGATGGAAATATGCCAAGTTAAAGTGAATTATACAAATGTTTGTTTATGAAGAAAAGCTGCTTATTATTGTGTTCTAAGAGGAGCTTGCCTTAAAAAAACCCACAAACAAAAAACTGTTGTTAAATAAAAGTTCTTCATTACTACTTGCAGGATTATTTGGGGTATTAGTCTTTTTGGATAGCTTTTCCAATTTTCCATATAGGAAGCATAGGATATTTTAATGTATTAAAACACTTGCCAGTTAAAAACTCAAATAATTTATCAGCTTTTGGGAACAGTTCTACCTTATTGTATCTGACATGCATTTACAAGGCATGGTTCCCCCCACTAGTATATTTACAGATCTTAGAAAGGACAATTTCAGATAGAATAGAATTAGGGCTTAGACGTAAAAAAGCCTTAAAAAAAATAGGAGATTCTTTAGCTGGACATCACTGTGTATTAAAAAAAAAAAGAAAAAATACTTTCATGTCTTGTGTATCAGAAAAGAAAAATTATTGTGAAGGAGGAAACAAGATAAACAACATTTTATGAATATGTAAAGTATCCAGAACAGTAGATACCTAACTGGTCTCACAACTACTACAGTATTCTGATTTCCTGTCTAAGACAGTGTGTTATACTAAACAGGCAAATAAGAATAACTAAAACACTGGATATAGTAAAAGCTTCATCAAGTACGTGTCCATTTTACATTGTTATCCATCTATTATGTTTTTCTGCCTGAAGTATATAAAAGAGAAATAAGGCATTACACTAGTGCTAGCAACAGAAGTAATAAGTATTTAAATTTAACTTAAATGCATATATATTTTACTTTTACAGATGGCTATGTCTTGAGAAGCAATTTAGTTCAAAAGTAAGTACAAAGTGATTTTTTGGAAAAAATTGTTATAACAGTCAATTTTTTTGTAAACTCTCTGTTAAAAAAAATGAAATGTAATTATTTTAGTCTGTCATTCTAGTCTGGAAAATTGAGTTATTTTTATGAAGTTATAATTTCTCAAGAATTAATCACATGCATCCACGCTGGAAATTTGCCAGGGCCTCTTTCCTCATTGTATAACCATAAACTCTGATTAAACCATGAAAAATTACATAAATTAAGCATTATTAGTACTAGAATCTATTAATGAACTGCAAGTTAATGTGATTAGGTGTATTGATGTCCTTTTCAAATGTTTAACTAAAATCGATCAAATTTTCTTTAGGTTTAATTTTATTTCAGTCTTATGAGGATTGAGCAGATTTGGCCCAGTGTTGCTCTGAATAATTGCATGGAGTTCAGTATTTCGGTTCTAATCCAAAACTCTTGTCACACAAAGCCTTTCCATTTCCTTCAACAAGATCTATATGAGACCCTTAAATATCAAATCAGATGTCCCATTTATAATTGTCACATTTAGAATGTAGAGGCATCCAAACACTTACACACACATTTGAATTTTTAACATATATATAAATATATATATATATACAAAGCCTTATTGTCTTCCATGGGCTTCTTTACCTATCTAAGTGAAATATTTTGAAAATTCCTGTTCATGAAGCATGTATCTTTTATAGACATTACCTAAATTCATTACCTAAAAAGAAGCACCTCCAATATTATGGAATTGCCAAGTACAGAAACAAAAAGAATTTCAAGGGCATACCATTTTTTTTTATTCTTTATTTCTGGTGTTCATTTAGAAAAACCAAGGAAGTACTTCATTTTTTTAAGGAAATACCTCTATGAGAATAGCTGCTTAAAAATTTAATTGAAAAATCCCACCCTTTTAAAAAAGCCAACCTTTCATATTAAAGAGAAATGTATCCAGGTCAACCCTTTGCTGAAAATCCTCCAACCTGACCATCCTGCTAAACACTGTTCTATCACCACAAAGGTTGCACTTTCATAATTAGCAAATTAATTACTTGACAGCTTGTCTGTACCATACTACTACTCTATTTCATATCTGCATGCAAACAGTAATTTATATCTGATGTCTCGATTTTTAAATGTATGGTTTTTCTTTTTTTTAACTTACAGCGAAGGAGAGATTTATGACAATGTTGCTGAGGGTATGTTGAACATTTCAAACAATACAGTAGCTACATTCAATTACAATTAATAACTTTCTCCTTGAGTCAAAGTACACAATACTAATATTTTTTGCATTTTTTTTCCATTTCAGACATCTATGATAACGACTCAGATGCATGATTCTGTTCAACTAATGACTTAAATGAAGATCACCTCTAGTTTGGACTCCTACTTGTGGAAGCTCAATTACAAATTAATTGGTTACACCCCTGTAAATGTAGAATTAACTTTTCTTAGGAGTTCAGCCTTTTGTCCTCCATTGCTTTAAACTACATTACATTGCTATTTATCTGAGCCATTAAAATTCCCTTTATTGATGTTTTAAATACAATCAAATACAATTCGAATACATCTCAGAGGAGGGATATGGGGATATTAAAAAAAAAAATAACTGTGGAGATAATAGCCTAAAAACTACTTTTTTACTGTATTTAAAATTACTGATAAAATACTGAAAAGTTGTACACAAACTTGACTTTCTCCCTTTATATTTGCTATTTAACCAGCATCTAGGCATAAAAAACTAGTGGTATTGTAAGTTTTTTCTTTTATTTTACCAATGCCATTCACTGGATGCATTTTTTTCTCTCTTCTGAAATTCTTTTGAATAAAAGCATACTTTCTGACAAGAAATGTGTGTACACAATCTTCTGTCAAGTAGAACAACAGTAGCTGCACAATAACTTCTGAAAATTACCACTGAGCAGCTAACAGAATGAAAATCAACATTCTTATTGTTGTAAAGGCAGCACGAATACAACATGGTATTTGTCAATAATTGCTACCCAGAAAGTGAAATGTAAGCAGAAAATCTGTCAGATAGGAAAATCTATACTTAAGTAGTCTATATTCTAAGGGTTTCTCACGTGTAATTAATTCTATTTTCTTTTAAAAGTCATAAAGAAAGAAAAGGAAAGCTGTTCATGTGATATTTTTCCTTCTCCAAATTCAGTCTATCATTCTGGAGTATTTGGCTGTGCCTGCTAAAACATTCAGCAGTGAAAACATCAAAATATTGACATAAAAATTAGGCTTCAGCATGAACACCCCAGTTAAGGTAAACAGAGCTGGTGTTGTATCTCTATGCTGTCCCAGTAAACAGGTTAAGCAAAACCAAAACTGGGAAAGCAAAAAAGACTTCTCTAATTCAGTAGCTTTATAGCATTTCTCTGCTGTTACCGCAGGCTCTGGATTGCAGGAATGCAGCTGATCTCCTGCACGTTCCTGTGTAAGAGGTTTATATTCTCAGCCCGCATAATTGCAGATCCCCTGGCTACTCCTCCTACAGCAGTAACAAAACCTTCCTGTATGTGTGATCCTTTTGCATAATCTGTCTCAGCTGTAAAGATCAGTACTTTAGTAAAGGGGAGGAAATTCAGTGGAGGAACATAGATTCTCCGTATGATTTAGATTACCCCTTACCACTACATTATTTTATAACAGACACAGGTGTAAGCACGTGTGCATATGTATGTGTGCCTCAGTGTGTTTGAGTATATATTATGTCAAATAAGACAACTTCTGAGGAGACTAACGGACCCATGAAAGGGTACCCTTAAGACTTCTGTTCAGCAGCCCCAGACCATCCTGTATGGAAAAGCTTTTGCACGTAGTATGAAGAACTCAAATGGCAGGAGAGGCAATAAACATGCTTGTATTTGCACAGCCTCAGTTCTGACTCCTTCTGTGGATACATCGTTAACTGCGTGCCCAGTCTATAATTACATGATGGCTCAGTACTTTTTTCCACAGGATCCCTGCCTCATTTAGTGCATGGGCTGGATGAGAGCTAACAGAAAGGGCAGTCGTTCAGCCCTGCTCATTCAGTTTCTGGCCACTCCTTTATTTAGTGCAAATCTTCCCAAGCTTAGGCTGCACCCAGAATTATTAGTTTCTCATGGCATTCATCACAATGGTATCTCAGATTCCCATGAATAGGAATGGATCTATCTTGTGAGAGGAAAACATTTTATCCCATTCTAATATTTGAAAGGAAGGCATGAACAGAGAACAATTTGTGGCAGATGTCCATTAATCCTGGATATAAAACCAAACTGCTAAAGCTAAATTAATTAATTTTTTGTACTTTCCTAGATTAGGACTCTCAACTATTTTATCTTCCTTTTCTTTGCCTCTATTGTGGTTAAACACAGAAGAGAGAAAACACCTTGTATTTTAAAAGCTTGCAAAATTTGTATTATAAATATACCACAAAATCACAGAATTTCCTGAGCTGTAATGGACCCACAAGGATCATCAAAGTCCAACTCCTAGCCCTGCACAGGACAGGCCTAACAATCTCACCATATGCCTGAGAGCATTGTCCAAAAGCTTTTTGGACATCAGGCTTGGTACTGTGACCACCTCCCTGGGGAGCCTGTTCCAGTGCCCAGCCACCTTTTGGGTGAAGTATCTAATCTAAACCTCCCCTGACACAACTTCAGGCCATTTCCTTGGGTCCTGTCACTAGTCAAAACAGTGCCTACCCCTTCTGAGGAAGTTGTAGACTGTGACTGGTCTCCCCTCAGACTCCTCTTCTGGTGGCTGAACAGACCAAGTGCCCTCAGATGCTCCTCATACAGTTTCCCCTCGAGGCCCTTCACCATCTTCATTGTCCTCCTTTGGACACTCTCTAAGAGCTTAATGTCTTTTTACATATTGTGGTGCTCCAGACTGCACACAATATTTCAGGTGAGGCCACCACAGCGCAGAGCAGAGTGGGACAATCCCCTCTCTTGACTGGCTGGCAATGCTTTGCCTGATGCCCCCCAGGACATGGTTGGCCCTCCTGGCTGCCAGGGCACCAATGACTCGTATTCAACTTGCCATCGACCAGGACCCCCAGGTCCCTTTCCACAGGGCTGCTCTCCATCGTTCCTTGGTCTATACACACAGCCAGGGTTGTCCCATCCCAGGTGCAGAATCCAGAACTTGCCCTTGTTAAAATTCATGAGGCTGATGATTATCCATCTCTCTAATTTGTTGACGTGTCTCTGCAGGGCCTCCCTGCCTTTGAGATAATCAACAGTTCTCAGTTTTGTATTATCTGCAAACTTATTTAGTGTCCCTTTGAGCCCTGCATAGAAGTTGTTTACAACAATGTTAAAGAGCACATGGCCTAAGATGGGGCCCTGCAGAAGCCCACTAGCGACCAGTCACGAGCAGGATTTTACTCCAGGCACTACAATGCTTTGTGCCCGACCTGTGAGCCAGCTGCTCACCTGTCATGTGCCAGCTGTATGCTGGTCATTTTGTCCTGAAGGATACTATGAGAGTCACCATCAAAACCTTTTCTGAAATCCAAAAAGATTAAATTAACAGCCTTTACTTGATCAACAAGGTGGGTTACCTTGTCATAAAAGGAAATCAGATTTGAACCATGTTTACAGTAATAAAAAGAGGGGTAGACAGGAGATACCAATTAAAATTTAATGTAAATAATAGGTTAGATTATGTTCTGAAACTTAATAAAAAGTGGGGACTAATTCTAGAATTAAATGGTTCATGTTATTACCTCCACTTATATGATTTGCTGTCTCCCATCTTCCATGTTGACAGCTAGCTTTTTGGTGTGGTTTTCAGTGATGTCTATGGCTTTTGCCAGAATGAAACCCTTCTGTGTGTATGGTCTGGACATATCCTAGGCTGAGATTCCTAAACCAGTTCTGAAAGAGTCAACTTATTTATCAGAAGCAATTCACCCAGGACACCAGCATAGCCCTACAAGCCCTCCACCTCGACCGCTTAGACTGGCTATGGAATAAGGTGGTAGTACAGCTGGAGGGTCATCCTAAGCAGTTTCCAGCATCCCAGGCAGTTGGAAAACATAAGGATATTTCAGTGCCACTCCAGTTAGCTGTGGTACTACAGAACACCACTACTGCATGTTGTAGCCTCATGCCAAACAGCAGTGCAGTAGTCCCAGGTCCCCTTCTTTTGGCTGTGTGCAGCAAAATACAATGATCTCAGAGTTTTCCTTTTTGTGTTTCATTCTAGCTAACTGACTCCTACATAGAATTTGGTAAGTCATCTCTATTCGCCTTCTTCTAAAGTACATGGAGAGAGAAGATTAAGCTATTACTAAATGTACAGAGTTTCTTGATTGAGGCTTTTCATATTGTGGGCCTTATTGAAAAGAATATGGGAAACTGTGCATCTTTTTTCATAACACACAGACTCATAAGTATTGCTTAAGGTTAAAATGGTTCACTATTAGGCATAAAGGAAGTATGCAAAATGTCAACACAAACATGAATGAAATGGGAATTAGATGGATACCAAGGGTTTTAAGAAATATTATATGATTTGCAATACTTTAGTAATATCACCAAATCCTACTGCTCAGGCATCATGAGACAGACAAAGAAAAGAAAAATCAGCATTGGCTTTTTTCCCTGCCTTTTTTTTTTTTTTTTTTTTAGCCTGATTCCTGATTTTCAAGTTCTTAACAGGAAAAGCTGCCTTCATTTACGTGTGAGTGTGCTTCAGATGGAAAATGTACACAAAACATAGACACAGAAACCGGGGCTCCCATCCGTGTTTCCTACTGACAGAAGGGACACACTGCCAACCTACCTTCCCTTCTTCTGCATCTCAGCTTATTTCATATTCTCTGGACAATGTTGTCACACACCTTCCAGCTCACACAGGTAAGGCCAATTTCTTCTTCTCTATTGATCCAAAGAAATCCTTATATTTTTACTGTGATTACCTCCTTTCACTGCCTAGGACGTTCTTTGTCCTACTTTTTTTCTTGATTACTTCCTGTTCCCTATAATTATTCCTCTTTTCCTTGAGCCTCTGACCATGGTATTCTGTTCTTTGCTTTTCTGCTTCCTTGTTGCTTTCTCTTTTTATACATTTAAACTGTTCCCCTACTTCTGCATTTGTCCCTGGCACTTTCATTTTATCTCAATTTTAAAACCCCTCTGTTTAAATGCTCATTTTTTGTTCAAGATTCCTAACTCTGTGGGTAACACCAGCAGAGGTTTCATGACTCACCAGGCACTGAGGAGACTTACAATCCTTGTATTTTGAGTTCTAGGCTGTTTATCCCATAGCATTTAAAATCAGGTCAAATGCACCTTCCCTCTGCACTCAGTATCTGGGGAAGGTTTTTTTAGTACTTAAGATGGGATGCTGTATGTATAAATAAACCTTACTATTGCCAGTTTAAATTTAAAAATTAAGAAAAAAATCTTTTCTATCACATCCCTTTTACTGGTCCTGTATTCATAGCAAGCTACTTTCTACTGGCCATGTAAGAAACTGAAGCATGTTCTAAAGACAGCCACTGATGGCTGAGAATCTCCAATATCCAAATATTTCAGTATGGATACTGTGATACATAACAGCATTGCTGCTAAAATGTTAGCCAGCCTCTGTCAGCCAGTGCCCAAAGAAGATGCTAATAGGCTTCTTCAGTTTTTAAGAAAAAACACTGAGTTAC